GCATCTTCAAAAAACGGAAACACACAATGGAGGAAAAACAGCATCTTCAACAAACGGTGCTCGCAAAACTGGACCTCCACTTGTAGAAGAATGAAACTAGATCCTTATCTTTCACCTTACACAAAAGTCAACTCCAAATGGATGAAAGATCTCAATGTGAAACTGAAAACTCTGAAACTGTTAGAAGAAAACATTGGCAGTAACCTACAAGATATAGGTGTAGGAAAGGATTTTCTAAATCGAACACCAGATGCTCAGGAATTAAGGTCAGCAATCAACAAGTGGGACCTCATTAAACTAAAAAGCTTCCGTACAGCAAAAGAAACAATAAAGAAAGCAAACAGAAAACCCAGAGTGGGAAAAAATCTTCACCAGTGACACATCTGACAGAGGTTTAACATCCAGAATATATAAAGAACTCAAAAAACAAACAAGCAAGAAAGCAAATGATCCAATTAAGAGATAGGCTAAAGATCTAAACAGAGAGTTCTCAAAGGAAGAAATAAAGACGGCTAAGAATCATCTTAAAAAGTATTCAGCATTGCTAGTAATTAGCCAAATGCTGGCGAGGATGTGGAGAAAGGAGAAAGCTCATTCACTGCTGGTGGGAGTGCACACTTGTGCAACCCCTATGGAAAACAGTGTGGAGAACTCTTAAAAAACTAAAAATGAATCTACCATATGACCCGGTTATTCCATTCCTTGGCATATACCCAAAGGATTTATCCTATTGCAGAGACACTTGTACAACCATGTTTGTTGCTGCTCTTTTCACACTAGCTAAGAGATGGTAGCACACTAACTGCCCCTCAACAGACACGAGTAGTTGACAAAAATGTGGAACATTTACACAATGGACTTCTCAGCAGTAAAGAAAGATGAAATCATGAAATTTGTAGGTAAAAGGATGGATCCAGAAACTGTTATACTAAGTGAAGTAACACAGACTCAGAAAAACAAAAGAGAAATGTTTTCCTTATATGTGGATAATAGAACCAAATCCTTATAATAGATGGAATCCCACTGAAACAGGCCAACAGCCCATGGAGAACGTGATGCAGAGACCTGAAAGTTCTGTGCCTTGACACAATGAGAGGAAGATCATCCCACACCTATCACCCATTCCAAGGCTCAAGGACTTTTGCAGAAGAGGTTGGTAGAAAGAATGTAAGAGCCTGAGGAAGGGGTGGAATTTTACCTGGAAGTGTCCCCCGACCACTAAGTTGGCAAGCTATAGTCATACCTCCTTCCCACACTGGTCAATGCATCCAAGGGGAAGTCAAGTACCCCTCCCACCTAATCAGTTACCCTTAGCTGTATGTGGGGGAGGGGTGAAGGATATACAAGCTGAGAACGCCATAAGGCATCTCTCTTGCCATTTTGTGCAGAATAAAAATATATTCTATAAACAAAAAAAAGAAAATGCTTTTATAGTTTGTAATAACTAATTCACATTATTCAAGTAAAAAGAAAAATAATAAAATATTTAAAAAAAATTTAAAGGCCAATAAATAAATAAATAAACAAACAAACCAAACAAAGAAACCCTAAAGGATGGAAATTAGGACAATTAGGAATTAACTGAACTGTTTTTGACTTTGGGTTTCCCTAGGAATTTCTCCTTATATAATCTGCTGCTATTACATTGCAGATCTGTCAGGGTGTTGCTAAGGGAATGGTGGGGAAAAATGTTTTCCAAAACCTTATAATTAAATATTGGTCTTTTGTTAGGCCCTGTGACCTTCATAAGAGTTTCTCGGCTTTTTCTCTCCCACTACCCAGGCTTCCCAAGGTTACAGTGTGATAGGGTTAGTAGATTGCCTTCCTTTCAAGTCAAATAGGATTTGGGTTAATTTCTTTTGGGGGGGTGTTTGATGGTGAGGAGTTTCAGACAGGGTCTTATTATGTAGTGCTGGCTTGCCTAGAACTCATTATGTTGACTAGGCTGGCCTTGAACTCTGTAACAGAAATCTGCCTGCCTCTGCCTCTTGGGTGCTGGAATTAAAGGTTTATATTCTTGAGAGCAGGCCTTTATTTTGAGGCCTGTATTACTACTTTGCTCATATTAAAAGGGCTGCTTTTCTTTCCCTACCAGTTATGGGAGAATTTGTCTTGGTTCTTTAGCACAGAGTCTGTTGGGGCTCTAGAAATTAAACCCATGAAATACAGAGCTCCCTCTAAGACTGTGTCCCCTATGAGTTTCTCACCCATACTAGTCCACATCAGACCCCAGGATTTCATCACGTTTTTCATTTAAGAACTATTGAATGTGACTCTCTAGCTTTATATGCCTCTCTAGACTTCAGAGTGGCAGTTTGCCTTGAGATCTTAGTTCTCTGAACGTGCCTAATGGTCACTGATTTTTAGTTCATTTGTTTTTTTGTTTTTGGTAAGTACAGTAAAAATTTCCAAGCCTCTCACATGTTATCTCCCTCTATTTTGGATTTAATATGTATAGTCAACAAGTAACATATAAAATGCCTCTACTCTGGCATTTTCTTTATTTCCAAGAATTTTTGGGATTAAACTGGGGTCTGAGCCTTCCCATTATAGGTGTTATAATTTCATCTCTGTTGCTGTGATAAAACACTCTAACCAAAAGCAACTTAGAGGAGGAGAGAATTTATTTGGCTTAAACTTCCAGATCACAGTCCATCATTGAGGGAAGTCAAGATAGGAATCCAAGGCAAGAACCTGAAGCAGAAACCATGGCAGAACACTGCTTTTGGCTCTCTTTCTCTGGCTTGATTAGAGGCTCATGCTTAGTTAATTTTCTTATACAGGCCAAGACCACACTTCCAGGAAATTGCACCTCCATAGTGGGATGGACCCTCCTACACTAATTAACAATCAAGACAATCCCTCATACATGTCCACAGAATAACCTGATAAAGACAATTACTCAATTACAACAATTTTTTAGGTGTCTCTAGCCTGTGTCAGGCTGACAATTAATGCTAACTAGGACAAGAGGGCAGAAAGATGCTTGACAGTAGCATATGCATTCTGTTAGCCCTATAATCTGAGTTAGCTTTAGCTTGGAGGTAGGTCTCACTCTAGGAAGGCTAAACCATATCTACTTGTATCTCATGTTCTCAAAAGCCAAATAAAAAAGTAACCACACCTATCATTCTACCTTTCCTAATTTTAAAAATACTTTGAGCCAGGCATGGCACTGTACACCTTTAATTCCAGCACTCAGGAGGGAGAGGCAGGCAATCTCTGTGAGTCTGAGGTCAGTCTGGTCTACATAGTGTGTTCTAGGCTAGCCAAGGCTACATAGTGACACCCTCTTTTGGTACTTCTTGACCATAGCTATGCCATGTTGAAGTTTAGACCACTCTAGTCTCTGAAATTATCAGGTAGTTGGCCCAGGGTATGGGAACACACATCAGCAGGACCCCAGGTGTCTTGGAAAACAGGTCAGTGTGTCCCTGGAGTGCCCCTGCTAATTGCAGATTTATGGCTTCTATATGTTATGCTTGGTTTGCTTCTGAAAAATAGTAATCGTTGCTTAATAAAACAGAAATTGTTAAGGGGGTTTTCCACCTGGAAGCTTGGGAATTTAAACTTTTCACCCCTGGTTATAGTTTTTCTGTAAAAAGCTTACCCTAGAGACAGCTCAGGGCTGCACTTGAGTTCCAATACCTTGTGTAGTCGCTGCCAGTTAGTAAAAGACTTCATTCAGCAAAACTTTGTCTGAGTGTGGTCTTCTCTGGTGAAGCACCTCACAACTATGTGTGTGTGTGTGTGTGCGCACGCGCGCGCGTGTGCGTGTGCGTGTGTGTGTGCGTGTGCGTGTGTGCATGAGAAATACTTTGCTGGAAACATTTTGAAAAAAAAAATTTTTTTTCTTTTTGAGACAGGATCTCCCTAGAGCCCCAGCTGGCCTGAAACTCACTATGTAGACCAGGCTGGCGTTGAACTCACAGAGATCAGCCTGTCTCTGCCTCCCAAGTGCTGGGATTAAAGGCATATATGCACCACACCTAGCAACATTTTGAAAATATTTAAAACTCTACTTTCTAGCATAGACTTTCATAATCATTAGAGTCCTATATTCAAATCTAATTTTTTCTTTTATATATTTATTTTGTGTGTACTTGTGTGTAGGGGTGTGGGTACACACATCATAGAATGTGAGCAAAGATCAGAAGATAAAATTTAGATGTTGGCCCTTACTCTTCTACTTTGTTTAAGACAGGGTCTCTTGCTGCATAAACCATGCAAGCTAGGCCTTTCAGTTTCTGGGGATTCCTGTTTCTACCTACTATCTCCTGATAGGGATACATTGGGATTAGAGATGCTTTCACTACTGCATTAGGCTTTTATATGGGTTCTAGAGATCTGACCTCAGGTCATCAGACACTTACCCACTGGGCCATCTCCTCAGACCCTAAAGTTTCCTTTTAAAGAATATAGCAAACAGGCTGGAGCGATGGCTCAGCGGTTAAGAGCACTGACTGCTCTTGTAGAGGGCCCGGGTTTGAGTCTCAGCACCCACACAGCGGCTATGAACCGTCCTTAACTCCAGTTCCAGGGGAATCCGAAGCCCTTTTCTGAGCTCCGAGGCATTGCGCAACACAGGTGCACTCACATACATGCAGGCAATACACTCATATACATAAAAAAATAAATAAAATATTTTTTAAAAAAGAATACAGCAAACAATATACCATAAAATAACAAACAACAATTAGGGAGTAGATGAGCTAGCACAGTGGGTAAAGGTGCTTGCTGTGTAAGCCTAATGACCTGTGTTCAATTCCTGAAATCCATGTAAAGGTTGCCAACTCCACAAAACTTGTCTTCTGATTTCCACACATGCACTGTAGTACATGGGTGCCCCCACACATATCTCTCTCTCTCTCCACACACACACACACACACACACACACACACACACACACAATAGCTGGAAAAGGTTCCTTTTGGTGACTAGTCCTTCCTCAATATTAGACAATACAACTAATCAAGTACCAGGCAGTTCAACCACTCACCATGTGTTTGGCAAAGCTCCCTGCAGGACCAGTGCTCCGAACCAGATGCCCTTCAGAAGGGAAGTTAAAGTTGCCAGCATTCAGGTTTTCTTGTGTGGAGTGGTTACCAAAGAGAACAAATGGCTGCCGATGAGGACTAGAGCAACAAGTCAAAACGTGATTAGAAAAGAGATTCTTGATCAAGGCAAGTTCTTATGATCTAAGTAAGCTAACTCCCCACCCCCACTTACCCTTCCCTTGAATACACTAATGTAGTAGACTAAATGTTCTTTCTCTCAAGGTCATAAAGTCAAAACTTAAAAAAAATAAGAAAGACCAACTATAAACCACCAGATGTAAACATAATCTGAGGTCAAGTAGACCACAGTGTTCCTGTAAACATTTTTGTCTGTTTTCTTTTCTAAAAATTTATTTTCATATTTCTCTTAGAGCTAGAATTAACCAATCATATAATACTGAGTAGGCAACTGCTGATTGAGTGTTATTTTTTACTATAAAATGACATGTCAAGGGGCTGGAGAGATGGCTCAACAGTTCAGAGCACTGGCTGCTCTTGCAGAGGACCTGGGTTCAGTTCCCAGGACCTACATGGTAGCTAACAACCATCCCTTACTCCACTTCCAGGACATCCGACACCCTCTTCTGACCTCCTCAGGCACTGTATGACATGCAGGGCAATACACTCATACACATAAAATAAAAATAATATTATTTAAAAATGAAGTGTCAGGGCTGCAGAGATGGCTCAGCAGTTAAGAGCACTGGCTGTTCTTGCAGAGGACCAGGGTTCAATTCCTAGCACTCACATGGCAGCTAACAATCCTCCTTAACACCAGTTCTAGGGGATCTGACACCCTCTTCTGTCCCCAGTGGGCACTACACAACACAGGTACACTTACACACATGCAAGCTTAACACTCACACACAGAAAATTAAAAAAAAATGACATGTCAAACTCCAGTTTGAGACCTAGGTTTCTTCGGGGATTACTCTGCCTGGGTCCCAGCAGGTTAATAAAGCTAACTTTTCCTAGTGACCTGTGGAGAACAGTCATTTAGGCCAGAACCATACCCAGGCTAGGTTTATGCTTTCCAACTTGACCTCCTTTGTGAGGAACCAGTTCCATGAGTCTGTGATCCACAATGCAATGATGAAACAAAATCTCAGTTAAAAAAAAAATATATATATATATAAATATAAATTTTTTTTTGTCTTTTTGAGTCTTCTGCAAGAGCAGTCAGCACTTTTAACCCCTGAGCTATCTCTCCAGCCCCCAAATCTCAGTTTTATAAGATAAAAATTTAATAGAGGAGCTGGAGAGATGGCTCAGCGGTTAAGAAGACTGGCTGTTCTTGCAGAAGACCTGAGTTTGAATCCCAGCACCCACATGGCAGTTAACAATTGTCTGTAACTCCAGTCTCAGGGAATCCGACAGCCTCTTCTGACCTCCATGGGAATTGCATGGCATGGGTGCAATACACGCATACACATAAAATAAAATAAATAAAAATTTTAAAAAAATTAATAGAAACACAACTTTTAAAGTATGACAGTAGTTGGAATACTCACATCAGATAAACTATTACCAATTTCTGAGTAACTTTCAGGAGGGCAGGGAGAAGAATGTAAATGGTCTTTGAGAACCACCTCCCCAAGCATCACCTGTCAGTCCTGGTCTTCCTCCCTCTCTTTTGACTCTCTGGTTTGTTTTCTGTTTGTTTCTTTGTTTGTTTTTTGGTCTTTTTGAGACAGGGTCTCTCTGTAGCTCCAGCTGGCCTGGAACTCATTATGTAGACCAGGCTGGCCTTGAACTTACAGAGATCCTCCTGCTTCTGCCTCCCAAGTGCTGGGATTAAAGGCATGCGCCAGCATACCTGGCTAGACTCCCATTTTCTGCTGATTCCATAGGCTACTCTAAACCTCCCTCAGTCATTTCAGTCAGAGAGTTTTTGTAAGAATCACCAAGTAAATTTCACACATAGCATTTAACCCAATGTACTTCTGCTACCTCACTCCCTAAATCCAGTCAGCTTCCTTAAAACCATTCCTATAGCCACAACCACATGACAATTCTAGTCTGTGTTGCAATCATTTATTCCTTGGAAAAATGCTATACTATTTCACTGTTTAGAATCTATTCTTCAAAAGTAACACTACCTTTAAATATGCAAACCTTTTACTGACTATATCTTATGCTCAGAGAAGGTTCTGAATCTTGCACATGCCCAAGGAGGACTTGAGGAATTTAGTCCTACATTGTTAATTGCACAATCATCTTTTTATGTCTTTTATGTTTTATGGATTTCTGTTGTTGCATGACCTATACTCATTCATACCTCCTCAGAGAAGGTGGTCAGGCTTTCAGGTTATGATCATTACATCATTCTTTTCTTTTTCATGGCACCAATCAGGAACGATATATTTCTATATGAGGTTGCTTGATTAATATCCTTTTAATTATTTTATGTGTATGAGTATTCTGCCTGTGCATATGTGTACCATGTGTGTGCCTGCTGCCCATAGAGGCCAGAAGAGCGCATAGGATCCCCTGGAATTGGAATTACAAATGTCTGTGAGCTGCCATGTGGGTGGTGGGAACAGAACCCAGGTCCTCTGTAGGAGCAACAAGTGTGCTTAACCTCTAACCCATCTCTCCAGCCCCTGATTAATATCTTGTTTCTCTACCATATTATAACTTCATTTGAGGGCAGAGGTCATATTTGGCTTATTTAGTTTTTAATCACATATCCTTCTTCCTTGATATATCACAAATGTTCTTAGTAAAAGTGGAAGGAATATATACATATATAATTTATACTTATGTAAAATTTAGGGGTGGAGGTGAGACACAGTCTCAATGTAGCCAAACTGCCCTTGAACTCACTAGGTAGCCAGGATGTCCTTGAACTCCTGATGCTCTTGCTTCTATCACCTAAGTGCTAGGATTACAGGAATGTACCACAATGCCTGACTTTGGGAGAGATTATTTGTTTGTTTATTTATATGTTTTGAGACAGGATCTCATGTAGAGCAGATTAACCTTGAACAAGCTTTGTAGCTGAGGCTGCCCTGAATTCCTCATCCCCTTGCCTCTACCTCTCAAGTGCTGAAGTTACAGATATGCACCACTACTCTCAGCTCCAAAAGGGATATTTTAAAAAATAGTTCCCATATCCCCACTCTTTCCTTAAATCTTGTTTAATGTATGTAGGAGAATTTTTGGCATTTTTTCACTTTCTTCTTAAATTTTTTTTTTTTTTTTTGGTCTTTTTTGAGACAGGGTCTCCCTGTAGCCCCAGCTGTCCTGGAACTTGCTAAGTAGACCAGGCTGGCCTTGAACTCACAGAGATCCACCTGCTTCTGCCTTCCGAGTGCTGGGATTAAAGGCCTACGCCACCACGCCTGGCTTCTTCTTAAATTTTTAAAAATTTATTTACCTTTATGTATGTGAATATTTTGCCTGAGTATAAGTGTACCCATGCATGCAATGCTCACAGACGTTAGAAGAGAGCATTGGATCCCCTAGAACTGGATTTACAGACAGTTGTTAGCTGCTATGTGGGTGATGAGAACCAAACCTGGATCCTAAGAACAGCCAGTGCTCTTAATCTTTGAGCCATCTCTCTAGTCCCCTTTTCACTGAAAGTTTATGAAAACTGCCAGGCATGGTAGCACACACCTTTAATCCCAGTATTCCTGGAATTTAAAGAGCTCCTCCTGCCTCTGCTTCCAGAGTGCTGGGATTAAAAGATTGTGTTACCATGCCTAGTAGGCTAATTCTTTTGTTTGTTTATTTTTAAATTTTTTAAAATTTTTTGTTGTTGTTTTGTCTACATGTTCTCATTATGTAGACCAGGCTGGCCTGGAACTCATAGATTGCCTGCTCCACAACTACTACAGTTCCCAGTTCAGAAAATGGACAGTTTCCTTTTGTGCTCCTGAACTAAGAATGGAATAAAACTTCTTTTTAGATTGCAGCAGGATATCTATAATTTTTTTATAAGTTATTTTACGGTGGAGAGATGGCTCAGAGGTTAAGAACACTTATTGCTCTTGCAGAAGACTTGCGTTCAATTCCCAGCACCTACATGGTAACTCATAACCAACTATAAGTCCAGTTCCAAGGTATCTGACACTGTATTCTGGCCACCTCAGACTCCTGCATGCATGTGGTGCACATAAAGTCACACTGTAAACACACATATACATATATAAAATAAATCTTTTTTTAAAAAAGTTATTTTACTATAAGATTATAGAAAAATGAAGCAAATACAAATATAAAGGTCCTCACATTCCACATCCCTGTTGTCAACCCTGTTTTCTCTATCATCATTCACACTTCTACAGGTAAGAAAACTTACCTGTTTTCAGTAATATGGCTGGAGATCATTCCATGACTGAAGTAACTTCTGAATGGCTAAAAACAACACGACATGGTACATTAAGACCACAATTTTAAAATAATGATAAAAACCTTTCACATATTTATGTCAAGGAAACATGTAGTATGTAAAAGAAGGAAGTACAGAAAGACGTTTCTCAATTATTATAAGAACATGGAATGGTATGGGACTGCAGGGAGACGCTACCTCAAAAAGACAAAAAAAGAAAAGAAGAAAGACAAAGGAAAATAAAAAATTTCAAATGCACAGTTTTGTTTTGTTTTGTCTTTTTGAGACAGGGTCTCCCTGTAACCCCAGCTGGCTGGGAACTCACTATGAGTTCGAGGCTGGCCTTGAGCTCACAGAGATCCACCTGCCTCCACCTCCAGAATGCTGGGATCAAAGGTGTGGGCAACCACCCAGGCTCCAAGGCATAGATTTTAAATAGTGAAAAGAAACCCCACCAACCACTTACTAATCTTACCTGTATTTTTCTCTTCAATTTAAATTTTCACCCTACATTTCCAATGATTGTATATGTATTAATTATAATAGGTTAATTTAAAATCAGTAACAAGGGAGAATCAAAAGAACACGGAAATACAATGACAAAAGTTTTCTAGAAAACCAAAAAAATGCTTCTCTGTTTTTAGATGCAGTGTTAGGCTAAGTTGACCAGTCAACAGCTATCATACAGGGTCTCAGGATCAAAGGTTCAAAATTTCAAAAAGCAATATCAGTTCCATCAAATAACATCTAATGTATATTTTTCAATTAGTTGAGTAAACATTTTTTCATTGTAGAATACAATAAAACCACACACAATTTCCAAGAACAGTTAATATTTCGGCACATATTTTTCAAATCTTTCCTATCATATCCATAGACTACTACTGATTGTTATTACAGTTTACTGAATGTTCTGTGAAAAAATAAGTATTGTGATGAATGAACAAGTTTCAATAAAATTTACCTGCAACTGTGATTATTTTCTAAGATCTCTCCAGAAATAAAATTATAATGAAAATGGGCAGAATTATTTTTCAAGTTTTATCAAAATACTCTTCAATTTATAATACTGAGGGTGCCTATCTCTCTGGGTCTCATCATCATCACTGCCTATGGAATGATCTACATATCTTTTTCTATGACACCACACATGTGGTGTTGCACGCCTTTAATCCTAGTAGGCAGAGTCAGATGGATCTCTGAGAGTATCAGGCCAGCTTGGTCTACACAGAGTTCCAGGTCAACCACAGTGACATAGAAAGACCGTTTCAAAAAAAAAGGATGGGGGAGGGGGGACTGGAAAGATGGCTTGGAGGTTAAGAGCACTGGCTGCTCTAACAGAGGACCTGGGTTAAATTCCCAGTACCCACATGGCAGCTAGCAACTGTCCATAACTCCAGTTCCAGGGGATCTGATACCCTTTTCTGACCTCCTGGGGCACTGAATTACACAGGTGAACTTACATATATGCAGGCAAAACATTTATACACATAAAAAAAAAAAATCAGCTCTCCGACAAGCAGGCCTCTCTCGGGACCAACCCAGCTCCTCAGCGCAGTCCCCAAGAGCCCTTGTGGGCTGCTTCCTGCCCCCATTTCCCTTAGCATCTCTGGGTGGCATGGCCACCAGCTGCCCTAGACCAGCATCTTTCCTGGGCCGGGCTCCCAGGCAAGTCCAACCCCCAAATTCCTGAGGCCAAAATCTTTCCTGGAGGGATCCAGACCTTAGGAGAAAGCCTGAGAGCATCTGATCCTCATCTGACTTGGGCCTCTGTGGGAACTCCTGAAGACAAAAGCAATCTGGCCACTCCAATATAAAATCAAAAGAGAGAACCGGAAGATTAGAGGAACCAGCCTTTCATGCTCAAAAAGTAAACCACAAAGAAACATAAAATTTACAAAGAGAAGCAGACCTAAACTTGAAGGCTTGAGTCTCACACAAGAATCAGAAACTACAAAAGAAATTCACATGCCAAAATCACAGAGAAAAAATAACAACATGAAAAACCAAAATAACATATCCCCACCAAATACCAATAGTCCTCTAGAGGAGTACAATGAGAACCCCCAGAGATAATGCAGACCATGGAACTCAAAAGAACAATTATAAACATGATTAGAGAATTCAGTGAATTTAAAGAACACACAAATCAAAGAATTGAAGGAAGATAGGGATAAACGTATGAATGAATTCAGAAAAAAGCCAGAAATATTGAAGGATACTCATGCTGAAATGAAGAAGGAAGTGAAACACTCAGTAAACCAATTAGAAATGACAGGAGAAAGCCTCACAAACAGGATGAATGAAATGGAAAACAGAGTATCAAGACTGGAAGATAAAGTGGACGAACTAGACCACTCAAGCAAAGATTATGAA